AGTGGTAGTGGTAGTGGTGGCGGCAGCGCCAGCGGTAGCGTAGGGGTAATGGTAGTGGTAGCGATAGCTATAGCGGTAGTGGTAGTGGTGGTAGTAGTAGTAGTAGTAGTAGTAATGGTAATAATCATAATAGCAGTAGCAGTAGCAGTAGCAGTAGCAGTAGCAGTAGCAGTAGCAGTAGCAGTAGTTAGTAGTAGGCAGTAGTAGTAGCAGTAGTAGTAGTAGTAGTAGTAGTAGTAGTAGTAAAGGGAGTGGCTAGTAGTGGCCAGTAGTGGCTAGTAGTAGTGGCTAGTAGTAGTAGTAGTAGTAGTAGTAGTAGTAGTAGTAAAGGGAGTGGCTAGTAGTGGCCAGTAGTGGCTAGTAGTAGTGGCTAGCAGTAGTAGTAGTAGTAGTAGTAGTAGTAGTAGAAGGAGTGGCTAGTAGTGGCTAGTAGTAGTGGGTAGTAGTAGTAGTAGTAGTAGTAGTAGTAGTAGTAGCAGTAGCAGTAGTAGTAGTAGTAGTAGTAGTAGTAGTACTAGTAGTAGAAGTAGTAGTGGTAGTAGTTGTTGCTGTTGCTGTCGCTGCTGTTGTTGTTGTCGCAATTTTGGTGGTGGTGGTGGTGGTGGTGGTGGTGGTGGTGGTGGTGGTGGTGGTGGTGCGGCAGTGGTGCTGCTGCTGGTCTTCCGGTGCCGGTGCCGGTACTGTAACGAGTAGTAGCACCAGCAATCGTCATGCCGATAGCGTCAAAAAGCGTGATAAGGCCAACAACTCTGGTAGTAGAAAATGACAAACGGCTGACCACACTAGCGAACTATCGCCGTCATCATCAGCAGCAACAGCGTCAGACCATCATCTTCTTCTGCATCACAATCACCATGATCATCAACATCATCATCACCATCACTATCAGACTTTTTATTCCAACAAACAAGACGTTAATTGTGATTGTGGTCGCTGAAGGGACTTCGGGAATTTCTGTTTTCAGTGCAGCTTGCCCAGCCTTCCCTTGGACACGGGCGAGGAAAGCAAGTAATTCGGGGAGTCCTGCCAGGTCGCAATTCGGGCTTAGGGTTTGGGGTGCAGCGGTCCAGATCTAGGGTTGGCTGCTTTCTCCGAGGACAACAAAAGCATCACAGAAATTCAGGTTGGGGCTCGGGATGTGTTCAAGAGCGAGAACAAGTCTGTCCGTGTCGTCACAGTGCAATGGTTGCATGTTGTACATAGTTTGGGTCCAGGTCATCTTGCTGACCAATCTGACCATCAAAGTCTCCAGCCTTCTTGTCCTTACTTGCCAGTGCCCAAAAGGCATCTGAACCTTTGAGGCACCAGCACCCCCAAGAGCGATAAACATCGAGAAACCGCGAATGAGATCCTTCAATTTGAACTGGGCGCCTTTTTGAGGATCCCTACCCTGTCATGATGAAGCCCAAACTCAATCGCGGATAATTATGGCCGAATCGACTGCGCCAACACCCAAGAACGCCGGGCCGAACCTTGAGCTTGTAGGCCTGTCAGCTGGTAGCGCGGATCACTGGGATCGCCCGCAGTGCACACACGACTAGACATATTATTGTAGAACCTCTACGGAGGACCGTAGTATCTGCGACACCTGAATGGATCCCGAGCCTAAGTCCAGGCCAGCCCATGCCACAACTCTGCACCTCGTCGCCGATATAGAAGTCTGCATCAGCCAGCCCTTGCGCAGATGGCGTCTGGCTGATCTGGCTGATATGTACACCTGGCTTGGGGCTGGATTTGGATCTTAATTAAATTGTTGCATGGTGAGGAGCCAGGGCAAAGCACCGATGTGGCTTGAGGTCCAAACTCCCGGTTGACTTCTTGGCTGCGTTGGCCACGACAGTGGGGATCATGAAAGTGGGTTCCTCGAAACACATCGCGCGCAGCTTTCAGGTGGACAGGTACCGACAAAGCCGATCTCTCCACCAGTCTCAGACAGTAACGATGTTGCCAGCAAAACCCATCTTGGTACATCCGGTACCGATGTCGATGACAACCGGCGGTGTCCTGCAGCCCCGCGACTGATCGCACTCTTCGACTTCCAAGCAGGCAAGCCCCAAATCCTGTGCCTTCGCGCCATGGTCTCACTGAGGGGCTTCGGGCTGCGCAAAAGACCTGTGCGCATGCTCAGACAGTACAGCGTAAAACAGAGGCATCGCCAGCTGCCAGTGGCAAGCCGTGTGTTGGAGCAACTGCCGATGACGATTCAAGCACAATGCCTCAGCTCGGGCCCATCAGCGACTGACCACAGGTGTGGCACATTGGAATACGGTTTCCTCGGTAGTGACGGCCTTGTGTGGCTCAAGCTCGTTCAACTCCGGCCTTCGGCCTTCCAAGGAGCTTTCCTATTGAACTTTGTGCTCCCCGCCTTCTTGTTACAGCTGCTGTTCTTGAAAGGGTTTCGGTGGCTATCGGTAGAAGTTCTAGGACTTGAGCTCGGCTCGGCTATGCTTGCCTTAGGGCTGCTGATGTCTTGTCACACGTCATGTTACTTGCGACCTAAGGCCATCAATGCGGCATGCACAGCCTGAAGGACGCAGCTGCAGGCGGAGTCGAGATATCAAGCTGTTGACATGGACACGCAGCTGTTTTCCTCTGCCATGCACGATGCAGACTCCTTCTCACTATGATATCTTTGGTGAGATCATGCAGAGTGCTGCGCCGAATAATCCTGCCACGATACCAGCCTGGGTGTTTCACAATTCTAACAATCTGCTGGGGAGAAGGAGGGCTCTATGCTGTTTGCCGGGAAATTTCTTAGTGGTCTCTGACACAATTGACGGCCTGTGCTCAGGAGCCAAGATGCACCACCCAGGAGTTGAAGCGTTCTGCCGGAACCCGACGAATGCTGTACCTCGAGGCGTTCCTGCCAGGCGCCCGGCATGTCTGCCTATTTGGTCTCTTGCAAATCTCCTTGAGCTCATCATCGGCCTTATGATTCTTCTAGCTGGAATTGCTCATCACCGTCAGCGTTTCACCAGTAGCACCACCCACCTCCTACCCACCTCCCACCAACCACAGCAAACCACCACCGCCCACCGCCAGTCACCATCGTCGACGCTGCCATAAAAATAATCATTCTTCTTCACTATCATCGTAGTCGTCCTCATCCTCATCATCGCCATCATTATCGTCATCATCGCCATCCTTGTCGTCATCACCGTCAACACCATCATCATCATCATCATCATCTTCATCATTATCAACATGAATATTTGAATATCGACATCAACATCCTCATTGTCATCATCTACCGCCATCGCCACCATCATCGCCACGACCGCTACCCTCGCGACCAACACAACCTCCACCACCAGAGCCGGACAATCTTTCGTCTGGCCTCCTTCCGAGCGAGCACATTACCATCGAGGCTGCTGAAGACGCGTCTGACCACGACATCCTCTGCACCCGGCCGCTTCAAGATGTAGCCTGTTGATCAAGCGTTAAGTAGAGGCCCAGGTCGAGAGGCTTCTATCCGCACTTTCTCAAACGGAACAACGCATCTGCAGCCGGGATGCATTCGCGCAGGCCGCCCTGAGACAGCAACAGAACGGCATAACTTCTTAAAGTAAGGCTCAGGTCACGTCTGGAAAGTCATGCATACTAAGGGCGCCTCTGGAAGGACCGCGAAGCCTTTGCGAAAGCAACTCCCAGCTTCTGGGTCCAGAAAAATCCGATGTGCACTGTGCCCTGCTTGTAGGCTTAGAAAGCTTCACGAACTCAACTTGCAGCTCGAAGCAGACAGGTTGCTCTGTAGGGAGTACCAGCCATCTCCCCGCTGGAAAAGTCTACACTTCACCGTCAGCTGCGACGTGCCCTCCGACAAGTCTTCAAAGGCAGAGAGCATGAACTTTTTCCGCTTGTTGCGGGTCTCCTTCCTAGGTTGCAACGGCGAAAAGCCCTCGTGCCAGATGCCGCACGAGAGTTCGACTAAGAATGGACGTCGTGCGAACATGTCCGAACACACCGCTCCATCACACCGCCGAGCTGCTCGACTTCCACGCCGCCCAGCTCAATCACGGTGCAGTTCTCTCCAAACAGAGTCCTCGGAAGTTTTCCGATGCATTAGACGACAAAAACTCTCAGTTTTCGGCGGAAAGTTGCGGAAACCAAGCCCAGCCGCCTGTCCACAACTGTGAGGATCTTGTCCTCCACACCTCCGATTGAAGTCAATGTCCAGATACATAACTGCTTGGTGGGCCAGTCCACTAATTTGGAATGCTCTCTGCATCGCCAAGTGGCTGATGTGCAATTCCACAGGAACGTGATCTATGATCCTCGCCGTGACCACATATGACCACATACAGTGACATACAGGGCTGTCCGCAAACAGTGAAGGGCGCACCGATGATGTTCTTTGCAAATACTGTTCCATCATCACGAACATCGTGACGATACTGACGCAACATTCGTGAACTTGCCGGTACCGATATTGTCACTGGCGTTTCATTGTCCTGCTCCTGACACTTGGTACGGTGACCATCCATCTTGCTCTTACACTGCTGCTCATGATGGCGACGATGTTAACGACGGTGGCGCGGCGACGACAACGATGATAGTGAGGATGGATGACAGTGACGACGAACATGTAGGCTATGCTGTCGATGATGATGATGATGATGATGATGATGGTGATGATGATGATGATGATGATGACGAGGCTGACGGCGATTATGATGATTATTATGATGATTATGGTGATGGCGTTGAGCATAACGATGACGTTGTTGATGGTGGTGGTGATGCTAAGTATGACCGCATCGACCCTTGCCGTGTGGGATGTCATTGCTGGGGGTGTCATTGCTGACGTTGGTAGGATTCAAAGAACTCCACTGCTCGTTGCTATCACATAGATCACGATCTCGCAGTGCGAGTATCCTTTCACACCTTGCAACTTATTCCTGCTGCTGACTCTTTATCTGAGATGTATAAGTAAGGAAACGGTCATTCTGCGCTTAGCTGCTTAGCTTCTGGAGTTTTCAGTAACACTGACGCCAGTATCATGCGATGTGCTGGAGCTGTTTCGGCCCACCATTATGTCATGCCGGCTCCTGGCCACAAAGCCTGGCAAGCCCAGCCCGGCAAAATAAGGCCGCATGGACTCGCTCTGCGCCTGATGGAAGCGTCAGCATATGGTACCATGCTATTCACCGGACCGTAGTGAGCTTTGCTGCCATGCGTAATGCTCACTCATGTGATATTCTATTTGCTACTTTCCGTCCCTGCTATAAGCATTGCATGACAACGAGGGTGGTGGAAAAGTCGGGCACCAGGGTAGTCGGCCCCTAGCCAGGAGAAGTCGGGAACCAGGAGGGGGGCGAGTCGCGTGAGTCGGGAAAGAAACAAGCGAATCAGGAGACACAGACCGCTGAGGCTTAGGAAATAGGAAAGGCAACACGCGTTGTCCAAAAACGTCCAGTTGTGGGGGATATTGAGGGAACCTTGTTTGCAAACGCACACACGCGGTTGTTGTTGTACTGGTCCATGAAAGTGATGGACCATGGGGCCCTCAAAAAAGGGAATCGTTGAGAACCTGTTTTTGGGAACAAGTACATTGATCAACGTAACTTCATCGATGTATTGCATCTGACGCATAACCACAGGACTCCTGCTCCTACTCCTACTACGACTACGACTTCTACTTCTACGACTTCTACTACTACGACTACTACTACTACTACTACTACTACTACTACTACTAATACTACTACTACTACTACTACTACTACTACTACTGCTACTACTACTTCTTTTTCCTTCCGGACGCAGCAAGAAGATCCTCGCTAGGCGGTCAGAGTATTTAGGCGGGCTCTCCAGCCTGGCGCATAGCGCACCTCGGTTATTACGAGGTCCGAACAAAAGGCAGTGCCCCCCGGCCCGAAGGCCCCGAAAAGCGAGGACACTGCTGTACTGTGCTACATAACAGCTTGTCACTGTAACATGCAACTAGAGTCCACAACACGAAGCTCGCTGCAGGTTAGAGGACTAATTAGGACTATCCAAACAG